CCCCGGCAACTCCCAGGCAAGCCAAGGGAAGGCGTGGGGATGTGGCCTAATATGCTAATGTGTTCCTGCTAATGGGTGTGCCCTATTATGCTAATGAGTTCCTGCTGGGCTTTTTCTACAAAAAAAGCCCTGCTTTAAAGCATTCAGCAATAACTACAGGCAGATTCTGAGAGGCAATGCAAATAAAACATTAGGTGGATTGTAAAAATATGTTCAAAGGTGATTTTTGATCCCTACAAACTGGATTCTAGATCAAATGAAGGATGAACTCTCCCCAGAAGCTAAATTGACTAAACTGAAGCTATCATGCTTTGGTCACTGGGAAAAACAACAGTGCTAGGAAAAGTTGAAGGCATCAGGAAAAGAGGAATACCCATTGTGAGATGGATTGATTCTATAAATAAACTCACAGCCCTCAGTTTGCAAGATCTAAGCAAAGCTGTTACTGATATGATAGGACAGTTTGGAGGACATTTTTCACAGAAGAGAAGAGATTGGATTTATACCCCGCCCTTCACTTGGAGTCTCAGAGCGGCTTAGAAACTCCTTTCCCTTCCCCTCCCCACAACAGACACCCTGTGAGGTAGGTGGGGCTGAGAGAGCTCTGACAAAAACTGCTCTTTCAGGAACAGCTGTGCCAAAGCTTGTGACTGACCCAAGGTCACATCAGCAAGTGCAAATGGAGGAGTGGGGAATCAAACCCAGTTCTCCCAGATTAGAGTCCGCACACTTAACCACTACACCAAACTGGCTCTCAACAGGGTCTTCATAGGTCAGAAGCAACTTGACAGCACCTGCGTGCGTGTACACACACGCACACACACAAAAGTGTTCCCTCTAGGCTGAGTTAGTGTGAGCTAGCTCACAGTTTTTTAGCCTCCGGCTCACACATTTTTGTCTTAGCTTAGGAAGGATGGCTCCAGAGCAAACTAATTTATGCAGTAGCCAAATCATTAACTCACAACTTTAATTTCAGCAGCTCACAAAGTAGAATTTTTGCTCACAAGACTCCACAGCTTAGAGGGAGCATTGTCAGGAGATGATGAAAAGCACAGGCTAAACCCCAGTTTTTATTGCCTGCCAGTTTAAGAGTTTAGACCTATAACTTTCATGCATCTATTTCCGAATTTGGGTCCATAAATAAATAAATTAAAGAAAGAAAGAAATCCACAGATCACACATGGGGGGAACCATTCTCAACTGAGCCCTAATTTTTCCTTTACCCCTTCCTATGTATGCCCTTGGACGCATGTGCAGGCAGTGTATTGAGTCATATAAGAGAATGGAAAGTCTGTCCCTGCCCAATGCAAGTTAGTTATGCTCCAGAGCATGTGCAACTTGAATCATAATGTAAGGAAGAACTAGATGGGGATAGGGGAGGATGAAAAATGAGGAAATCTTCTAGGTGCAGGTGCTGCACCTATCTTGTTATTGGATCTTCCCCCTTTCCCCCATTTTTATGTATAGATAACATTGTTTTGGGCCATCTGCTGGATATTTTACACCACATTCCCCTCCCTGCCGCTGCCTTAGTCTGCCATCAGATCCTGTGCAATATTAATCAGCATCTATTGAGGTAATGTTTCTGGGGCAAAACATTACCCACCCACCCTCCATCTGCACAATACCTTACAGATATATGCATGCCCATAACTCGATCTAAAACAGATGGGGAGCAGATGCATGTGTATTTACAATTAATTTATTTAAAATAATGATGACTGCATGTATTGGAATGGGAAAATAGGGCATGATTGAGAGGGTAACGGGCCTCTGGGTGCCAAATCCATCAGATAGGAGTAAAGAGTGCACAAAGTTAGTGTTTATGGATTTGTACAAGAAGAGTAGCATATTTTTTGTTTTAATGGAGTCATGTAACACTTTGATGCAGCTTTTTAAGGTCAATGGACAGAAAATGAGTTGAAATGAAAAGAGTTATTAAAATTATCTCCTACTTCTTCAAATACTTTCAAAGAGGCTGTAACAGTTCCTTGTTTTTTTGTGTGTGTGTCTCTTTAAAAGTTTGGTTGCATGGCTGTGGTAGATAGACTAGAATGGTTGAGAGAGGCAAGTATGGTATGATTGGTAGTTGACAGAGAGGGGGAGGGGTTTTGGAAGTGAATCTGGTTGGATGAGTATGTGAGTCAGTCAAGTAGTTTCAGTTACAAGCAGAGGTCATTTTGGGGGGGAACGCGGGAGAATGCAGTTCCCCCGGGTGAGGTGCAAGGGGGCGGGGCACACGATGAAGCCCCACCCCCTGCTTCTGGCCGCCCCGCTTCCAGCCCTCATTCAGCCAGGAGGAGGCAGGAGAAGAGGGAGGGTAAGTTGCTTCCTCCCCGCCTCTCCCCACCCCTGCCTGCCTGGGGCCAGGGAGGGCCTTGGCGGGGCTTCCTCGCACTTCCGCCGGCCTTGCAGGTCCACCGCCAGGCCCCTGATGTCAGGGGGTGTGGCATATGCTAATGAGTTATGCTAATGAGTTCCCCTAGCTCTTTTTCTACGAAATGACCCCTGGTTACAAGTGACAGTTGATGAGTTTAGTTAGACAAGCAGTTCTGTGTTGAAGCAGTTATAAGCTGACAGCTGCGGTTGTTCAGTGAGACAGAGAGAGAAAGCTGAAAGTTGAATGTATAGAAAACAGTAAAGTTTAAGTGACCGACAGTTAAAGGAAAGTCTGAGTGTCATAACAAACGGGAGAGAAACAGTGAACACATATGGCATTGAGATAAACAAGTGTTACAAAATTACATGAAAAGATCCCTGTCAGTGAGGGAAAAGATTGGGTGTGATACCAAAGCAATTGTTCATCATTTACACATTACTAGTTACATTGTACCACCCTCTTATTTAGTATTTATTTCAATAAATCCTCTTTTATCAAAGTTTATACCAGCTCTGAATGACATACTTCCCAGGACCACATAGTTCCTCGTGAGCCTTGAACTCGGTCTACCAAACCAGTAAGCAAAAGTAAAAGCATAAAGGTTTGGAAATCCTTAAAATTTCCTGGTGGCAGCAGATTCTACCCAGTTAAACAAAATACAGAACACTTTTAAAGTGAAACTAGTCCTCCCCAATAAGGAGGACATCACAGAGGCAGTCATATTGAAGTTTGGGTAATGTTCAGACTTAAACATGCAATAGATTAATTGGTTGAAAACTTGGTTGATGTATGAAGAACATTTGTGGACTGCCCTCCTGTGTTTTCATGATTATTGTTTTTCCCATCGCATGATATTCTGTTATGTGATCCTATGGTTATTGATTATGTAATTATGTAGTAATATTCTGTGCTGTATAATTTTAAAAGATCAAAATAATTTTTTTGGGGGGGAGAAATCACTTTTCATGTGCAACACATACGAATGTCAGGTTTCTCTTGGCAAAGAATGTGTATCAGTAGTGGGTGCCTTTCAGGTCTATTAATTTAACACAATTTGATCTGGAACACAGTAACCTATTGTGCTTTTAAAAGACTTCTTTACTATATATCCAACAGCAAACAAGGAACTCGGCCTCGAAACAAAAGATCTTTCAGTCATCCTCCATGATTCATATCTGAACTTTTTAACTGGAAACTTTTTTATTGGAATCATAAGTCATTATATGCAGTTCCTGTTACTGAGGATGCAGTTGCCTTGTATTGCCCTTTTGTAGAATCTAGTTCAGAAGTTAACTCTGAAGGACTATCCACAAGGGGAGTGTGTTGTGCAGTTGAAGGATTATTCTTCTGCAACAAACCGGAGGAAGATTTATAGTAATGATTCGTCACTATAATTAATATGGTGCTATATCCCCATTCAAATCCCACACAAGAAGAGCCTAAATATGTTTACTTGGGAGTAAATGTTGATTTGTTGCAGTGGGACTAACCTATTTTCTCCTGACCTGGGGTCTTTTACATGCAAGACCTTTGCTGTTCCACTGAGGTATTTCTTTTAGCAGAACTGAAAACAAAAATGGATTATGAACTCATGTTCTCTTCTCCCATTACTTCAATTGGCCTTTTAACACAACATGTCCTGATTGCTTGCTTCCTGTCTTTGTAATCTCAGCTGTTTAAACTATAATGGGTAAAAAGACCATACTGCAGAACATTTTAAAGTGGCAATGCAACCAGGAAATGACAGAAACAGATCAACTATTCCTCTTATCAGGTGAATCCATAGCACTTCACCATTCCATACAATTCAGAGTTAAACAAAATCCAAATCAGATCTGAAAAAAGACAGAACATCACAAAAAATACTGGATTGCATTAGTTTGACAATAATGTTTTCGGAATACTACTTGAGTAGATAATGACAATTTCAGGCAAAACAACTAGTCTGTCTCAGGACATGCCTTGGCCAAGTATGACAGTGGACAGGACCTCCGTCTTGGAGGATATTCCTGTACCCATACCATATTCAAGGTCCAAATGGGACCTTCAGAGGGAAACCCCAAGCATACAATTCTAGAAGAAGCTGTATCTAGGGAACCAGCAGAGATGGGGAGCCATGAGTCCCCTGATTTGAGTATCCTGTGAACACGCATAATTACCCCTGTGGCCCCAAGGTGGTGGTGAGTTGAGCAGCAACCTCGACCACAAGATAGAATTCACATCTAGCAAACCCAGGCATCCCATCTAATGATCCTGTTTTGGAGCAGAGAACTGACTCTTGCCAAGATCAGGGCCAACTCAAGCCAATAGAAAGGGTGGAGCAACCGCTGCGCAGTGGGCTGAGGCACTCTTGTTCCCCACTCTTCTGCATTTTTAAGTACCAAAATGGCCACACATTCCAGCTGTTTCAGCACTTCAAAAGGCACCAGGGAAGGGAATAAGAGCGCTGTGCTGCAGGCCCAATGAGGCTGGCCCTGGAGCTTGGGGCTTTGCTGGTACAACATTCCCTGAGGCCAGCTCTTGTTCAGATAGTGGACACTGTTACGACTTATCAGCTTTCAGATCTTCCCTGCTACCCAGTTTCCTTGAACAGCTCATGTGCTGAACTGTGTGCTGCTACCTTCTTGGTGGTACTCCTTTATTTGATCTGGTTGATCGTCTGACACTTGGTTCAAAGGCCCCTTCTGGTTCTTTGGGTTCTGAAGGTGCATCATGTGTGTTGTCCATCATGCTCAGATGCACCGTTTCTATTTGCTGTGCTTCATTTTTCTCTGTTGGTGTGTGATCAGACATGCATTTTAACCCAATGTTGCCCTGCCTAACTGATCCAGAGTGTTTTGGAACAGAGAATACTGATCAGACTCACCCTTTTAGGCACTCTTCAAAGTGCTTTTATCCCATTCTTGAATGATCAGACCCATATCAGACCTGGCAGCCAAGGAGTGCCGCTGTTGGCCATTTTTAAAAATAGTTTCTTCCTTGAGCATGCCCACAAGCACTGCTATGCCTCATGGGATATGTAGTTCATGGGACAGTTGACCATTTTTTAAGTCTGTCCTCTGGGCATGCACACAAGTGCTGATCAGCCTGCTGGGACATGTAGTCTTCTTCTCTAAACTTTTCAATTTACCCCTTCCCCAAAGTACAGGAAAAAGCTGAAGTACAGGGGAGTTATTATTTGAAAGTGTTTATGAAGAAAACAAAGTTTAAAGCAGCCCCTGTGGGAAAGGGGGAGAGAGAGAGAGGTGCAAATTTGCAGTTGAGCGCACTTTGCTAACTAGTAAAAAAAATGGTGGCTGAAAAACAAGAGGCCAGTCAGGCCTGCTTGACAGCTTGGGTGTGCAACAGAGTGATCAGACAACAGGAAATCCAGTTTGAAACCAGCTCAGCTCAAAAACCGGACTTTCATAGGTATCCAGTAAACATGCAGTAAAGGGGGACGGGACGGGACACAGACAACTGGGGCACGGCAGACAGATGTTACTGTATGATTGTGTATTTTAAATCCATAAAAGAACAGCAACAGCAATGGATTAAACTTCACGTCTGATCACAGCCTTGGTGTAGATTCCTTTCTTTGTCAGTGCTCTTACAGAGATAAGATTATTCACTAGCTTTGGAACATAAAGACAGTTTGTAATGAACACCTCTCAGGTTTCACCATTTGGGAGCTTGCGATTTGTTGTCCTGGAGCTGACGCCTTCAACCGTTACTGAGCATCCATCTACAACCCTTAATACTTCTTGCTTTTAATGATCTAATGTTTCCAAAAAAAATTATGAGGACACATATGGGCCATGCAGTCACTGTCTATATACCATATATGACTTTTTGTGTCTCCTAGTGATAATATATTTCTTTATTGGCTGCTTAAGTTTGATCTGAGATTCTTTGCCATTTAAAGGCTTTCTTCTGATTAGCAGTAGAACAGTTCTCTCTTAATGTGGCCTTGCTTCCCACAGAAGTGACAATTTTTCTCACCTTTGTTATTTATATTCCTGTGCATCATATTCCTCCTAAAAATGTATTTTATTTAACTGAATTTCTAGCCCGCCCTTCCCTGCACAGCAGGGCTCAGAGTGGGTTACAACAGTAAATATACACAATAAGTTAAAACAATAAAAGTTGATTGATAACATTTTGCAGTGACAAAACATTCTTAGACTCAATTCAAGACACTGTATAGAAAGAATAAAGACCCATCTCATAAAAAAGTGCTTGCGCCATGCTGCTTGTTAAAGCTAGGCCTTGTCCCCTTTGTTCTGACACAAATAGTTGCTCTTTGTGAGTCTGTCTGTCAAGTAACCATGCTGTGCACCAGAAGAGGTTGCCATCTTTGTTCCTTTGTTCTCACCTGCTCATGCCAAGAGCCTCTGGTGATCTTTCTACCTTTAATAATAAATGGGCTTAATCAGGGCCCATAACCCTTGTTGGTAGAGTAATTCACAATGACGGTGCACAACCTGATTAAAGAGTAGATAAAGGTTTATTTAGGAACTAATATACCTGATAGGAAAGAGGAGAGACAGAGATAAGTTCCTAACTACATCTCTAGCTGAGAGACAGTAAGTCTGAATGTGGCACTTGCAAGAAGAAAGTGGAAATTGCCCTAAAAGTAGCAATCTGGCTGTCCTCACTATCCTATCTAATTGTCTTCTTGCTGCCCCCTTCAGGGTCTTTTTCTTTTCTTCTTTGTACACCAGACATTGTCTTTTCCAACACATTATAGATACAAATGTAAGAAATTTGGCCAAAGCTTTGCTGAAACACCCCTAAGATTTCCGAAATAATTAATTTATTTAAGAATCTTCCAAAAGTTTTGTAATTAGAGAAGTTAACATATCAAATATACATGTTAAAATAACATAGACTCCATTCCATTTAGGTTTGTATTAGGTATGCACTGCATTATTTTGTGAAGGGTATTTTCTTACTTAGAAGGCTAGGAGCCATGTAGGACAATATCCATCATGGTCAAGCAATCTCTAGTTTTTACTTTTATCCTGTGCACCTAAGCCTGGGCAGAAACTTCTTCACCTGAATAGGATGGAAATTCTCATGGTTCCAGATCTTAGACCTATTACATATCTTACTGTTAATGGAAAATAATTAAGGGCCAGATGATCCCCGTGTTTCTGAGACTAATCTGTGAGGAATAAAATCATTCAAAGGCTTTTGCTAGGAAAGCAGGCAGTTTATTTTAAGAATGATTCATTCTGATACCAGGCCACTTTCACACACACATAAGAACATAAGAGAAGCCAATGTTGGATCAGGCCAATGAGCCATCCAGTCCAACACTTGTGAATACTGTGGGAACACAATCAAAGAAGGAAATTTTTGGACCATAAGTTTATTTTATAATCACTGGGCTAGTGATTGCACTTTAAAGGTCTTATGTGCATATTTATCCTGTGTCTGGTGATTTTACTTCTGAACAATTTACTTTATGGTCCTTATTGAATCTATACTTTGTATATATTTCTGATTGTGTTTATGTGAATATAATTATTAACCATCTTGCCACATATGTATGACCTCTGAGGAAGGCCTATTTGGCCGAAACGCGTAAGGTCAACTTTTTAAGCCCTTGATATTGTTATGTTTTATATACATTGGTTGTAATTGGGCCCCTATATATTTTAAATTTGGTTATTATCAATAAATACATGTGCCTTTTTTAATGGAAAGGTTTTAATATTGGCCCTCCTTTTCACTAACCTTTGTTTGGTTCTGGAGTTTATTGTTAGGTTCAGTTTTTTCCCCTTCTTGTTTCTGCAAAAATACTTGGTACCATCAGGAAGTCCACCGGTGGGGCCAGGACACTAGAAAGCTGTTGCCCCCCCCCAAGCACCCAGACCAAGAGTTCCTATCTATACCTTGTGGCTAATAGCCACTGATGGACCTCTGCTCCATATGTTTATCCAATTCCCCCTTGAAGCCATCCATGCTTGTAGCTGCCACCACACTAAATAACACAATTTCAATCTACTTTCAGTGCACTTTGTAACTGGATTTCACTGTGTGAATTGGCAAAAATACACTCACAAACGGTTGCTAAAGTGGATTGAAACTGCATTATTTAGCATGTGTGAAAGCATCCACAGTTATTTTGTTATAGGTGCACATGTACTGTGAGGAGCAGCTACCCTATCGGTGTACTTACCAAAGAAGAATAGCTGCACAGTCACACACTTCAAGAGGCTGCAGTGGGTGGGTGGGGAACAGACCAAAAGCAGCCTTTCTGGGCAGAGTTTGGCTAGCTTTAGCAGATTACATAAAGAGTCTAGGGGTGCTCTTGGACCCAAGCTCTACTAATGAAGAAGCAGGTTGGACCATTTGCTAGGAGTGTCTTTTTTCATCACTCTTTGCCATACTAATCCATGCTTCCGTAACCTCAAACCTGGACTATTGTAATGTAATGTGCTCTACATGGGGCTGACTTTGAAGACTTCAATTAGTGCAGAATGCAGCTGCCTGTCTTCGGCTTAAGAATGGGTGCTATAGATGTATCAGTGGTAAAACAGTTGCACTAGCTACTGATGTAAGAAGAACCTAGGCATGAATTGGCTCTCAAAATGTGCATACAGGGTTGGTGTTTGTCTGTATCAGATGTGTCTGAACTCAGTTGCTGCAATAGCAGAACCTCACTAGTATTTGCTTTGCAGTTAGCTCATTGTTTTTAAACAGGAAGTAGACATGGTGGTTTTCTTAGCTTCATAGTTAATATAGGCCCTGTGTTTGCTATGTCAAACAGCAGAAACCACCATGCCTGAAGAGGTTGTGCTACTGCAGCTGCTGAACTTTTATTGCTGCACAATCAAAGAACGGTTTTGCTGTGCTCTAGCCAGCTCAATGCAAACTGGATTCAGAAACCAACAGAAATGAGATGGCAGTTCATTTCAGTAACATCCTGCAGAAAGCATGTCTTTCTGAACTAAGCTTGATCTACTAAATAGACTGTTTAAAAAGTTGAAATCATTGGTTTTGATGAACATATCTATATGCCCAATCTTTAATCTTTTGTGGAAACCATGAAGGTTTAACAATACTTTTACCTGCTTAGAGCTGTAGTATGGTGATATTCAGAAACACATCCAACCACAAGAGGAAGGACAGCCCTGTGGTTAAAACCTGTTACTGGGAAAGAGACTAAAATTAAGTTACAGGCACTGGTTTGAGTGTAAGAAGCTTTCAGTCACAAGTGTTCTTGTTCCCCATCCTATTAATTCAGTGATTTCCATACTTTACTTAGTTGAGGAACACTGTCTCTATGAGCTGAAATGGGAAGCAAAGTTTTACTTTTCACATTTAGGGTGTTATGCTATCAATGCATGTTAAATAAAATGACTGAGTTCATTAATTTAAGAAAGGGGATGGTTTGGGGAAGGGAGGGATATCAATGCAATATAATGCCCCAGAGTCCATCCTCCAAAGCATCTCTTGGAGAACTGATCTCTATACTCTGGAGATCAAATGTAATTCTGGGAGATCTCCAGGCCCCACTTGGAAGCTGGCAATCCTCATCCTCTGCCTGTGTTTTACTTTGCTACATCGAGACTAGCAGTTAGGCTTGGATCTAGCAAAACAAGCACAACTTTTTTCCCCCTCTCATCTCCAAATGCAGCCCCAAAATGCTGCATTTTAAAAATTGGCCTCTTCACTTCTTCTTTAGATAAAAACGGGGGTCTTTTGGGGCCGGAGCACACCAGAGCACCGCTCCGGAAGCCCAGGAGGTGGCAAAATGGTGGCTGCAGCAAGCCCCGCCCCCAGCCCCCCCCGCTACGGCCTGT